CTGCTTGTAAAAATTCCTCCGCAAGGGAGAACTAAATGAACTTGGTTGAAAGCTTTTTCTCAGTCAATCTTAAGAGAGTCATCAGATAGGTTGAGGTCAAGGTTCTTTTGGCAGAGATAGAGATCATCCTTATAGGCTGCAACTCTTGCTGAAATATCGCTATAAGAAGATTTGTTCAGCTGTTTTAATGGATTTTTCAGTGCTCTCAGTTTTTGCGTAAGGACAAACATTTTAGTACTATGAATTTCCTTCTGCCATTCAGTTGAAACAATGTGTAAAAAAGAGGTGTCAAGAGTCCAAAAGTTAAAGAACCTAAAAGGTATGTTCTTTTTAGAGGTAAGGTCGCCAAATCTAATCACCATTGAAGAGTGATCAGAAATACCATGTGGCAAAAATTCACATTCAGCCTATGGGAAGAGAGAAATCCAAGAGAAGTTGACTAGGGCTCTATCCAGTTTTCGAGTGATATTTACACAGCCAAAACTTCCATTTGACCAAGTATGGAAAACCCCAGTGAATCTCATATCTTGCAATCCATTCCTATTTAAGCAGTCCTTAAAATCATGCATACCTGCTGTCCATCTGAGAGCACCACCATATGAGTCATTCACATGAAACAAGACATTGAAATCTCCCATTATAATCTAGGGCTCATTTGACAAGCAGTGAGAATTAAGAGCTCTCCAAAGAGCCTTCCTTTCAGTAGCTGTGTTTGCAGCATAAAAAATGAAGCTAAAACCCTTTTTTCTTTATATCAATCAACTCAATTTCACAATTAATCACTTAACTATGCTCCACTGCAGAGAGCATTGAGATTTTTTGTGGATCCCATAACACCCATACCCTTCACAATACTGAGGAGAAATAGTTACATCTAATTTGCCACTAAGGGGCAATAAACTTGTGTATAGTGCAACATGGTTCAAGATGCATATCACGAAAATGAATTCATGATATGTATCATTATACTTGATGAACACTATGCAGAATTTGTGATTTTTAATTTTTTCTCTTTCTTTCATGGGGGAGCTCTCTGGAGAGCATTATATGATTTAGGCGAATCCATTTTTGTTAAATGTGTTTAAACTAAGTACATTGCTAAAAAGAAGTAACCTCGGGAGCAGTTAGAATCAATAAATATTAGGGGTGTTCAAAAAATTCGGTAAATCGAAAAATCGAACCAGACCGAACTGAATTGGGCGGTTTGGGTTAGTTGTATAGCGGTTTGGTCTAATCTTGGGTCCAAAATTATGGAACCTTAATTTTTTGGTCCGGTCCTGGTTTAGGGTCCAGACCAGCCCAGACCGAACCGTTACTATATATATGTATATCATACCCTAAACTTAAATCAAGTAAAGTTCTCACGTGCCCCCCCACCCCCCTAAATTTTTAAATTCTAAAATTATCTTTACTTTTTTTTTTCTTTTGTTCTTTAAATTCCTTAAATTTCTTTTTTTAAAAGTCAAATTTCTTTTTCCAAATATTTCTCAATTTTCTTTCATTTCCTTACAAATATATCTCAATTTTCTTTCCCTTTTTCTTCTTAAAATTCTTTTTTTTTTTTTTTCGTGTTATATCAATGTTAGTTGAATTTATTATTATTATTATTATTATTATTTTTTTACTTTGTCCCCTCTGAATTAAAATAAAATAAAAAAGAAATCAACTAAAACCAATAAACCGAACCGAACCGAACCGGTTTTTCACGGTTTGGTTTGGTTTGGTTTGGTTCCATGGGCATTATGGTACAGTTTGGTTTGGTTTGGTTCCATGGGCATTATGATTCGGTCTGGTTTCAAAAATAGTGGAACTGTTATAAATGATTTGGACCCAAAAAACTCTCAATCCGGTCCAAACCGAACCGTTTGCACCCTTAATAAATATGATAACTTGAATTATCGTGAAATAGTAAATAGAACACCTATTTATAGACATGAAACTCAAAGAGCTAGGTAAGTAGTAAAGATACAATGTGTACAAAATTCAAGGTGGGTTATATGAAATCAACTTGAGTTGGAGACAAGATTGCAAAAGAACACTAAAAAAATATATATTTTAAATATATATATATACACTAAGAGGCCTATTTATAGGATGGCTGGATTGGGCGGATAGGCATTAAATTATGGACAATACTTGGGTCCAACCCAAGTTGGATGACCTGGGTACGTGCATGGCATGTGTCAAAAAGTAATCTTAAATTAAATTGGGCATTGTCCATCAATTTTTGGGTATAAACCATTTTTTTCTTTCTCATCTCTCCTATTTTCCCGAGAAAATTATGAATTTCCTGAAGTTCAGTGTGAATCATCTTCACCACAGCCCAAATTCCCCCAATTTGACCTTCAACAAGCCTTAACAAACTTCCAAAACCACTGTTATAGTTCTTTCTACCACCACCACATACTCTTCAACATCCTTTTCTTCAGCCCAAAATCCAATCCCTATTCTCTCAAAACCCATCTCAAATCCACCCTCTCCAACCTCTAATATCACACAAAACAAACAATCGAATTAGGGTTTTCGAGCTTCCGGGTCAGCTTAGGGTCTGGTTCTTCTGGCAAAAGCACAGTATGGGGTCGTATTGCTGAAAAAAATGGGGTTGGACCTGCTGGTGGAGGTGCCTTGTCGACGGAGGCTATTGAAGATCTCTGGAGCCACCGCCGGGGTCTCAGACACATCAAGGTGGCCACGGTGGGAGGAGGTGGTAGTGGAGAGATAGAGAAAATAGGTGGAGGTTGTGATGGAAAGAGATTTGGGGTGGAAGTTGCAGTGGAGACAGAGAAGGAGTGGATGTAATACCCTAATTTTAAAAGGATAGTCTCGGTATTTTAATTAATTAGTTTATTGCATTTTTTTTGTTTTTTTTTTATTTTTTTTATTATTTGCTTATTTGCCTGATTGTTTAATTGTTGTTATTTAATTGAATTATTGGTTTTAATTGTTTTTATTTAATTGAATTATTTGTTTTAATTATTTGTTTCATTAATGATATGCTTATGTGGCAGTGTATTAATTGTGTAAGTTGTTTCTTTATTTGTTTAATTGAATGTTAGGTTTATAATTGTTTTCTTGGTTTAAATTAAGTGTTGAATTAAATGTTTTTAATTTAAGATTTTTTTTTATTAAGGATGAAGTTGCCGACTAGTTATAGTTTTATTTTAATTTTCCGTCTCTTTATATGATTAGTATTAAGGTAAAGTTTTTGGCCTATATATATACTAGTATAAGTCTGCCAAGGTCGGAGAGAAAACAGAGAAAGGGAAACTTAGGGTTTGGCTTAGGCTAAAGCTAAACCAATGAGAGAACGAATGGTGTTACTCGTGGGTTGAACCAAGTGGCAATAGAGGAGTTAGAACAGTGAAAGATTGCCGAAAAAGCTAGGAAGACAACGCCGAGATTTCAAAACTGAAATCAAAGGCAAGTTCTATTTCTTGCTCTCTCTCTTTGACTTGTGTTCTGTGCATGCCTAGATAGTCTCCAGGAACTTAACGGACATTAAAATTGATTATGTATGCATGTAATTCAGATGTTAAACTTTATTTTATGTGTTGATTAATTGAAATTTAATTGTTGAACAAATTTTTTCATATTCAGCTTTAAATCTTATAACGATGCATATTTTGATTTAAAAGTTTCTGGGAGAGTTTTGGGACATAAACGGACTTTCGAAAACCTAAATAAGACATTACAGAGTGTTTTTAGCATCGTCGGAGGTGAAGACCACGACAGAAATCAAGGACAGAGTCGGCTCCCAAGGGAATGGAGCCAGCTCCCTAAGATTTTTGGCCACGGCTCTCTGTGAGAGAGAGAGCCGGCTCCATGGATTGAAGGAGCCAGCTCCCTAAGTCATAGAGCCGGCTCCCAAGGTAGGGGAGCTGGCTCCTATTGGTTGAAAGCTGGCTCTCAACTTTTGAGAGCAAGCTCTCATGCTTAAAGATGTACTGGACGTGGTTTTGGGTACAGTTTTGATATATTTGGAGTTCCTAAACTGTTCTGGATTATTATAAAAGATTCTAAACTTTGTTTTATGATATATTAAAACTCATATAGCATAATTAACATCTGTATGCTAGTAGATTTAACAGTATGGAGGTTTAAACCATTTTGTATGCTGTTAACGGGTGTAAAAAATTTAATTATCTAGTCTTCTTTTAGTAGTTTAAATGACTGGAACATGATTTTTAAATCTGTATTGGATGCATAATAGGGTCATATACTTATTAGATTTTATTATGCTTACCCTGGATTTTAATTGATGAACTATTAAATTATGTTATGTCAATTATATGGATGCTTATTCTGGATTTTAATTGATGAACCATTAAATTCTGTCATATCAATTACATGGATGTTATAGATTGTATGCACCGGTATGGAACGGTGGCATACTAGGGACAGATTAATTCAAAATACTAAGTCCTACCTACTTTGGAATTAGGGAATGGACTATAAAATTTAAATCCTATTTATATTTAAGTCAAACCAACTGAACAAGTTGAATAACTAACTAGATTACTTGCTACCTATATTTAAGTCAGATCAGCTGAACAAGTTGAATGACTAACTGGATTACTTGTTACTTATATTTAAGTCAGATCAACTGAATAAGTTGAATGACTAACTGGATTTCTTATGGATGGATAAGATAGGATTTATATATATATATGATTATGGTACCACGATATGAACTTGAATCTCAGGATCGATGGTTAGGGAGCATATATGCATTGGGATGCATAATTGGGTATGATGGTAAAAGTATACCCTGTTAGGTCTAGGTACACATGCCCACCTCTGGCGCATTTTGCATGTTGTCTTCTATTAAGGTTGAGACCCTCTTTGTAGTCTAATGAGAGTCCCTTAGTATGAATATATATATGTATGGACTAGATAGATATTGTTAAGTTATCTAGGATATATCTGCGTATCGGGTCCCTATTTGGATTGTAGTTAGAATAGAACTTGTTCGTGGGCCTGACCCACTACTATTTTTTCAGGTATCGGACGGTTCCAGTCTTAGAGCTTGTTCATGCTGAGTAGAAACGGTCACTCATTTTTCCGACGACGTATGATTTCTCTTTATGGTTTAGCTTTAGATTTATTTCAGTTGTTCGCTTTTCAGTTTGGGATTTTATTAGGGGTCCACTAGATGGATTCCCGAGTTGTTTAAATATCGGAGGTTTTGGGATTATTGGATTTTAATTATTTAATTTTAAAGGATTTTTAATTTAGAATTCTTTTAGATTTATTATTTATTCATTAAATTCTTTTGTGTTCTGTGTTTATTTAAATATTAATTGTTTGGTATCTCTCGGATCTGTGCTAGGACTTGATCACCCGTGGCTCTAGAATCGAGGGGTATCACGGTGGAGGTTGTCGATGAAAGCAAAGCCAAAAAAATAAAATAAAGAGTTCTAAACGGGTCAACCCAAATAGTTAGGTAATACTCAACTTAAATACAATACTATTAATGGACACTTGTCATGTACTGATTGGGCCACGTACCCAGGTTGGATGAACTTCATCCAACCTGGGTTGGACCCAAGTATTGTCTTTAAATTGTAGCCAAATAGTATAATAGTACAATACAATGCAACGTATACTAAGTAGAACATATATAATCTAACAGGAACATTAAAAATCAGAATTGTTCTCATGCTTGAGGAATATATGTAGACCACCAAGGAAGATGTCAGATTGCATATAGAACACAGTGTTGGAAATAATTTAATTACTTTGTGGTTTGATAATTTGGAACATTCAGAAGGGAAAGACTTATTTCTAAATCTAGCCTAAGCAGAAGAGACAAATAAATGTTCAAGATACTGTTGACACCCTTTTTGGTAAATTTTGTATTAATGACATGGCAACCAATTTGGGTATAAATTGACACATGGAAAAGGTGACAGAAGCTACATTCAGAGGCAAAGAAGATTGAATCATTTGAATTATTTAATAGATAGGGATTATAATTTTAGTATTTATCTTTTAGTTGATATAAGTTAAATAGTTATGTTTATCTTTAGGATTAGTTTATTTTAAACTTATAGTTAGTTAGGTTACCTATATGATTAGTTTATTTTGAATTTATAGTTAGTTGCGATAGAGTTGTAATGAAAATAAAGTGTTTGTGTGTAGGAGTTTGTTTTACGTAATTTTCTATAAATAATCAAAGAGGCATGCTGAGATTGAGGTCCAGCACTAGGGATGGCAATTTCACCCGCCCCCGCGGTTACTCGCCCCACCGTGCCCCGTTTTTGGCGGTTTTGGGGGACTGTATTGCTTATTTGGGCGGGGATGGTTTAATGTAATAAAAACCTGCGCGGGTTTGGTGTGGGGGCTGGGGGAGGTCGCTCGGCCTCGCCCCGTCCCGTTTATATAGACAAATTACTTAAGTACCCTTATTTCATTAGTATATATATTTTTCACTATATATTAAGTACCCTATATAACAATATTAAAGTAACAAATGAATTTTATTAAAAGGAAAGTTGCAATGGTGAAGAATTGAAGATGAGGGGGAAAAAAAAAAAAAAAGTATAAATCCATTTCAACAATAATTAAATTATAGTCTTAAATGGGGGCGGGGCGGGTATCCTCGGGGGTAAAAATGTTAAACGGTTACGGGGATGGGGTAGAAAATTTCCCCATTTTTGCGGTTTTGGGCTGGAACAGGGGCGGGGTTTTTAAACGGTTGTGGGGGCGGGGAAAGGTACACCCGCCCAAACCCGCCCCCGTTGCCATCCCTATCCAGCACCCTCAGAATCCTTTAATTTATTTGTTTGCTTTCTCAAGTGCTTTCCCAAATAACATCCTTGCTATCTCTATCTCTCTCCGTCTCTATTTCAGTCTCGTTCTATTTCTCTCCCTATATCTCTGTCTCTCTATCTCTTCTCCCTATCACTTTCTACATCTATTTTTTCTCCTCTTTCTATTCTCTCAATTATTACTATATATTGTATACCGATAAATTCCTTTTAATTAAGGCAATTAGAACTCAAAGAGGAATTATATTTATTCTTTTTCTCCTCGCATCACCTGATAGTTAATATTATCAAAAAAATCGCAAGTTGACAACTCACACTCGAACCATACAAATTGGTTCTGGCACGCCCACATTAGATCAATTTAAGATCGGCATTAGTCGGCCGATTTTAATGTCAACATTCTTGGCACGCCCAGTGGGACCCCACTAGGTGAGTGATTTATAGTAAAAAATATACAGTCGGCTTCTCAACCGACAAACAAATATTCTGATCAGTCAAATCAGCCGATGTACCAGTATTCTAATCAGCCATATGGTTGGCCAGATGATTATCAGCATGTTCCAGCAGCTGATTATCGGCATGTTCCAACAGTCGATTATCAGCAAGTACCGATAGTCGATTATCGGCAAACGCCAATATTCGATTATCGACAGACGCCAACAGTCGTGGATTATCGGCAAGTTTCAGCATCAAATTATCGGCAAGTTCCAGCAACCGATTATCAACATGTTCCAGCTATTAATTATCGGCAGACGCAAATAGCCACTAATTATCGGCATGTTCCAGCAGTTAATTATCAGCAACCAGTTGCTAATTATCGACAAGTGCCAATAGTCGATTATCAACAAGTTCCAGCAGCTGATTATCGGCAAGTGGTAAATCAGTCACCAGTTGTAATACCCCTAATTTTAAAAGGCTATTAGAATGATAGTCTTGGTATTTAATTAATTGTTTAAGTGCATTTTTAAATTCAATTTTTGATTATTTGGTTAATTGTTTAAATGTTTAATTATTTAATTAAATTATTTATTTTAATTGAATTATATGCTTATGTGAAAATTGAATGTTAAATTAAATGTATTGTTTTTATTTTTAATTGTTTAATTCAATTGTTTGTTTTAATTGAATTATATGCTTAGGTGGAAATTGAATATTAAATTAAATGTATTATTTTAATTTTTAAACGAAGTTGGGCTTGGATAGGATCAACGGACTTTTTGGATAGTGTAAATGGGTATAGTTTTTACCCATGGATGGATATACATGTATATATGGGTATATATGTATATTGGGTTAGTTTAATTATTAGTAATTGTTAATAATTAAATTAGTTTCATTATTTTTATATATGTAATATAAAGTTTTAGGGTTTATATATATTCATTAAAATTGCCGACTTATATACATATATGTATTTTATATTTTATTTCTATGTTTTCTTTGCCGACTCCTCACATGAATAGAATTAGGTTAAAACTATTTTTGCCTATATATATATCGTATTGTGTCTGCTTAGGGTTTAAAACATAAACCCTATTCACGAACAGTGAGGTTTGAGAGAAAACAAAGAGCGAGTCAGGGTTTGGCCAAGAACAAGGGCTGAACCAATGAGGGGTATTGGAAGCTTGCTTGGGGGTTAAACCAGGAGCAATAAAGGAGTTGAGAACAGTTTTGGATTTACCAAAAAATTTAGGAAGACGGCGTTAAGGTTTCAAAACTGAAATCAGAGGCAAGTTCTTTTTCTTTGACCTGTGTTCTGTGCATGCTTAGATAATCTCCAGGATTAAATTGGACTTTAAAAACAGTTATTGTATGCATGTTAATTCAGACTTTAAACTATATATTATGTGTTGATTAATTGAAATTTAATTGTTGAACAAATTTTTTTATTGTCTGTTTAAATCTTGTAACGATGCGTACTAAGATATATGATTTTTCTGGATGATTTGGAACTTAGTCGGACCTCTAGGAACTTGAACTAATGATTTCAAAGGGTTTTTAACATCATCAGAGACGAAGACGATAATAGGAAGCAGGGACAAAGCCGGCTCCTAAGGGGAAAGAGCAGGCTCCTTTTATTTTTCAACCCGCGGCTCTCTGTGACAGAGAGAGCCGGCTCCATGGATTGAGGGAGCTGGCTCCCTAAGCACAAAGATGGCTCCCAAGGTAGAGGAGCTAGCTCCCTTGTGTGGGAGCTTGCTCTCCACTTTGGAGAGCAAGCTTTCTTGCATAATAACTTATTAGAATTTTTTTTTAAGCACGGTTTTGATATTTTTGGGGTTCCCGGACTGTTCTGGGTACGTTATTATTAAGGATTTTAAGCATTATTTCATGTTATATTAAAACCTCATATAGCATAATTAATATCCCTAGGCTTGTGGATCGAACAGTATGGTAGTTTAAACAAGTTGCATGCTGTTAACGGATGTAAAGAATTTAGTTGCCTAGTTTTCTTCTAGCAATTTAAATGACTGGAACATGATTTTAAATCTATATTGGATGCATAATATAGTCATATACATATTAGACTTTATTTATGCTTATTTATAATTAATGAACTACTTATTTATGTTTTATCAATTATTGAACTGTTTTGTGAATTTTAATTGATTTTTAAATTTATCATTTATTGCATCAATTATTGGATTTGTGAATTTATTTGATGTATCACTTTGGATATTGCTTCATTTATGGATTTTGTGGATTATATGCACCGGTATGGGACGGTGGCATATTAGGTATAAATTAGATCAAAACGCTAATTCCTACCTATTCATGCATAACGGAATGGATTTACCAAAAATGTAAATCCTACATATTTTCATGTCAGGTCAACTAAAATAGTTAAATGACATACCAGATGTTTTTTTTTTATCTTTTTATTATTTTTTTAATTTTTTATGTTCTATACTAGGATTGATTATATATATATATATATTATGTTACCACCTGAGTCTCAAGATCGATGGTTAAGGGGCGTATATGCATTGGGATGTATAGCTGGCTATGATGGTTTGATGTGTACCCTGCTAGGTCTAGGTAGTCATGCCCACTTAGGTGCGTTTTGCATGTTGTCTACTAGTCAGGTTGAGGCTGTCTTGTAGTCCAGTGAGAGTCCTATAATGTGTAGTTATACATATATGGACTATTTAGTTATTGTTGAGGTATCTGGGATGTATCTGCGTATCGGGTCTCTGTTGGATTATAGTTAAAATAGAACTTGTTCGTGGGCCTGACCCACTATTATTTTTTCAGGTATCGCACGGTTCCAGTCTTAGAGCTTGTTCGTGCTGAGCAAAGTTGGTCACTCATTCTTCCGACTACGTAGGCCTGCTATTTATGTTTAGTTTTGGATTTCTTCTTTAGTTCAGTTATTCTTCGGTTGGGATTTTTATTAGGGGTCCACTCGATGGATTCCCGAGTTATTATTAGAGGTTTTGAATTGTCGGATTATTTTAATTATTATTTTTAAGGATTTTTA